GGAAAATGAATAAGGCTTCCCAAACTTTTTCACATGACCGTATGGTCATCAAGCTGGTTCCTCTGCTTGAGTTTCTTCAACCGTCTCCATWACTGGTTCTGTTTGAAATGAAGGTGGAGCTCAGCTCGCAGCTGTGATTGGTTCCCCTTGTGAGGTACAGAACATGTGGCCAGTTGCAGTAACATCAAGAAAGAAAAACAGCAACAACTGATTAGAAAGTTATGCTGAACCAAAAGTAACGAGTAACTCACGAGCTTTCTAGAAATGTAGTGGAGTGAAAGTCATAAGTTCAAAAAAAAACTATTGCACAAATAAAGTTACTATACTCAAAAAATGTACTTAAGGACAGTACTCAAGTAAATGTACTGTCCACCACTGATATTATGTTTATAACCGGGTATTTTTTCCCATCCCGTTCCCTGACTGCCATTTGGAGAGGGGGTCCTGATGAAGGGTGGACCGCCAGTTGCGGCCCTGGGCTGTGGGTGGGCTCGGGGCTTGGACGGTTGTCGGGGGCGGGGCTGGCTCTCCATCCTCCCTGGTGCTGCTTGGTCTCCTGAGGTGTGGCTCTTGGTTCCTGTGGGCGGTCCCCTGGCCGGGGTGGCTGCTGGGTTCCGGGGGGTGGACGGCTGGGGGGGTGCGCTTGGTCGTTGGCAGTGTGGTGGGGTTGTCATGGGTGTAGCTTCTCTGCAGTGGGGGGCTGGCCGGGCGTCCTGGTGCGGCCCGGGCCGGGCCTTGGCTATCTGCTCCTCTCCACCTCAGAATGATTGGGTCYACCTCCTGGGTTCGGGTGTGTGCGGCCTCCATTAGGGGGTGGGTACATGTCCTGGACCTGGGGGGTATAGAGTGTGTATCGGGGGTATGAGTGGAATGTGGCGTCCTTGTATGTCTTTGATTGAGTGGGGTGAGGATGAGGGTGGGAAGGTGCGATTGTGTATGTTTGGGTATTTGTCAGGCTGCGGTCTGGACTGCCCCTACTGCTGGTTTATCTGGGGTTCCGCTGCTACTCGGCCCCCCGGTGGGATGTGCGGCTGGCCGCCAGTGTGCTGGGGGTTCACGGGGTCTGGGGCTGGGCGCTGGGGTGTGTGCCGACCTGGCCTGGTGACTGCCTGCTGGGGCTTGGGGCCTCTGGACCTGTCGGGCTTTGGCCTGGCGGGGGGGTGCGCCCTGGGGGCCTGGACCTCTGTGCCCTTTCCTGGATCTGCTCTGGTATGGCGGGTGCCAGTGGGGCCCATGAGTTTGTCGCTGCTGGCCCTGGGGGCTGTGTGTGTGGTCGCTGGGAGGACTCTCCCAGTTCTCCCCTATGGTCTGGGGGGTGGGTGGGCGGATCTTCYCGTGYGGGTGCCCCTTGGGGCTCGGCACTCGGGATCCCTCTCGGGCCCTTGGGCTCTGGTCTTCCCTATGTCTGCCTCGTGTCTTGGGGGTTGGGTCTCGGTCCTCCACAGTCACTATTAAATATTCCATTGGAGAAATCTTGTATATACACGCATGTTCACAACTGCTCACAAACAGGTGCTCTGATCCGGGGGGTTCTGACAGGTCACTGAGTGTGTATATATATCTGTGTGTATATACTGACAATGTTTATGAATGTAGGCTTGTATGTATGTATATCTTCATATATGTTTGGGTATGTTTATAAATTTATATACGCCCTCCATGTATTTATCCATTTATTTTTCAGGTGAGCGGACAGATGTTGGGTGTGTGGTCCTGTGTTTTGTTGGTGTATATTTAATATACTTCTAATCGCTGTTTCAATTTTTCTATCTTTCTAATTACTTCTCTCTGTTTTTCTCTCTCTCTATTTTCTCTTCACTTATAAAAAAGTCACTGATGATGAAGAAATAAAWAAACTAAATAAACTAATATTTAGTTTCGTTTTCTACTGAAGTGACAAAAAATAAAAAAGATAACTGGGTACTCCGGTTTCCCCCACAGCACAAAACACTAGGCTGCCTTCAGGCCCTGGCCGCCCTCGCAAAAGAGATCAGTGATCTCAGTGGGATTTGCCTGCTTAAATGAAGGTTAAATAAATAAATATTTAATTACTTCATTGACTCAGTTGCTTCAGGCGGTGAAATCATGAACAACCTGAAAAGCTCCGTACCTACACAGTAATATACTACTACTACTACTACTACTACTACTACTACTACTACTACTACTACTACTACT